CATTTTTTCCCAGGGTGTATGGGCTGGAGCTTAAGATGGAGCAGAATGGGCGATGAAAACCATTAGCCGAAGGTTGGAAGGGCTTTGCAGATAAACCCATTTTCGTGTGTGTGTGTGTGTGTGTGTGTGTGTGTGTGTGTGTATTTTTTTTTTCTTCTTACAAGGAAAGAGAAGAGAGTTGACAACATTGAGATACAGAAATTCATCTCCAAAAAAGCGGATCTGCTTTTTGCTGTTTCCTGGAAATCAGATGCACCTGCAACTTCTGAAATTAACGAAGACAGTGAAGGTGGGTTTAGCCTTAAACTCTTGAAGATTGCGGTTTGGTTTAACAGTACCTCAGGTGAAACGGAACTGAAAACAACTGTTAGTGATTTTGTTAATTGTTTTTTTAGATCACTATGCAGTCATGCCACCTTTAGAGCAATTCATGGAGATACCTAGTGTGGATCGGAGAGAACTGTTTTTCCGAGATATTGAGCGTGGTGATATAGTGATTGGAAGAATTAGTTCCATTCGGGAATTCGGTTTTTTCATAGTGTTGATCTGTTTAGGAAGTGGTATCATGAGAGATATATCCCACTTAGAAATCACAGTAAGTTATTTTTCTTATTTGGATTGCTTCTATTTTTGTTAAGTCATCTCAATGCAAGAATTAAATCTTTGCATGCAGTTGTACTCAAGTATACCTAACAAGATACTTCTGGGAATTACATGTTAATTGTAGAAAATTGTTAAAAAAAAATTAGTGGAAGTTACTTACCCAGTTTCTCCCTCTATTTCTGGTTTGGGGGCATTTTTTAAATGTAAAATCTGGTTGATAGGCCCAAATGCTCCAAGAAGTATCAGTGGATATGGTGAGGCTGATTGGTATTCGGACTTATTTCTTGTAGTTGAACATATGTATTCTTAATTAGTTAATATTTGGTATTGGATATTTTCATGTGGATAATGTAGAGAGAAATTTGTGTCATTTACATATTTACAGTAATTAAATGTAAGTGGTTTGTACATTATAATAAGATACTTTGCCCAAGATGATGAATAGTCCTGAATTTGAACTAATGTGTGATGACAAAAGATTGGGTATTTGCTATCTATCCAGGCAGATGAAAAGGAAGAAAAGCAGAATGTGTCACAGACTGGATAACAGGCAAAAACTTTGGAGAATTCACGTTTCATTTTCGTTGGAAAACTTATAGACAAATTTTAGTTTTCTTTTGAGAGTGTAGTATACTGTCATCCATCATATTTGGTTCCTGAAACTAATGGAAAGTTTCATGGGATTTTAGTTTTTTAACTGAACATATTCTACTGTGTTTGGACATGGAAATTACTTTTAACTACATCTTCATTTAAATTTTTACTTTAGAACATTCAATTATTAGCTGTTTAATACTGAACAACTAGGTTAAAAGAAGAAACTGTTCTTACCAATGCTTGAAATGTCTGGTGTTTTAAAATACTTCTCATTACAGGCTCTGTGTCCCTTAAGAGATGTGCCTTCTCACAGTAACCATGGGGATCCTTTATCATATTACCAAACTGGTGACATCATTCGAGGTGATTAGCTTCATCATACTAATAAAAAAGTGATGATTGTTGAGTTTTAGAAAATACAGTCCGAGAGAATAGTGTTTGGGAAGTTTTATATTTTTTATATATTATGTTTCCATTTCTTACTAATCAGCTTAGTTTTCTCTCTCTTTTTTTTCCTCTTAAGCTGGAATCAAGGATATTGACAGATACCATGAAAAGCTAGCAGTATCTCTGTATAACTCATCTCTCCCACCACACCTATCTGGTATTAAATTAGGTGTAATTAGCTCTGAAGAGCTTCCTTTGTACTACAGGTAATTTATCCATATTATTTCAACAGTTCATTACAAAAGTCTCTTGAAGAATACCAAATTTTGTCAAACTTGACAACAAAGGGGAATTTTAATTTCGCTTATTGCAAAATGCATTCATTTTATTTTTATAACCATTAAATCACTTCAGACTTGGTAAAAGGAACCATATAATATTGCCACACCTTCTTATGCAAAAATGGTATGAGTATTTCAACCTCATATGATAATATTGTTTCTTTACTGGAAATGGCATGTCATATTAGTCATTTTACAATTTTTGTGTTTGTGTATGTTTTCTTAAGGAGAAGTGTTGAACTAAATAGCAATTCTTTGGAGTCCTATGAAAGTATCATGCAGAGTTCCTTGGGATTTGTTAATCCAGGAGTAGTTGAATTCCTTCTAGAAAAACTAGGAATAGATGAATCTAATCCACCATCTTTAATGAGAGGCCTACAAAGGTATAGTAAATCAGTATTATTCTCTTAGGTGGTAAGGGGAGTGGGGCTAAGCTCAGAAGCTGCATAGCTGAAGGACGTATATGACTATCCTAAGCCACCTAGTAGCAGGCATATGCCCAGGGTTGAATGAAACAAGTGATCCCATCTTCTGAACTGGACTGTCTTATCAGTGATTAGATGTGTACCATGTGACGAAGTAGAGAAGGATGCAGAAACTTGATAAGAAATTTGTATGTATACTAAAGAAAACTACTGTTTAACAATAATCATTTCGAAAGTTCAAACATTTTGCTATGTAAATAGAATGTGGATTTCTTGCTTGGGATTCATACTTTCAGTGTTGAGTGCCTGTCAAGCAGAATTAAGTATAATTAAATTAAAAATATTTTTGTTTTAACTTAAAATTTTTTTTTTTAATAGCAAAAATTTCTCTGAAGATGATTTTGCTTCTGCATTGAGAAAAAAACAATCTGCATCTTGGGCTTTAAAATGGTATGAAGACTGTCTTTCAGCAATTGCGTTATCTCATCTAAAAGCTTAGGGCAAGGCAAGCATGCGTATATCATCATTAAGACAAATTTGAGATAAAGTGATGCCTTTTTCACATGAGCTTTTAATTTCTTTCATTGTTAATTTTTTTAGAATAGATTTATATTTTTTATTTTATAAGATGTAAGTAGTCTTAAGTTTTATTTAGCATTTCAGTTTTCTCGAAAGGAATTAGTATATTGTTATCTGGGTTTCACCAATATTTGTTACGAAAATGCCCAAAGGCAGAAGAATCCTTCTTAGGTATATTGTGAGTATTCTGAAAACTAAATATTTGCCAAGTTTGATGACATTTGCTTTTCAAACTTGTTCACACCAAAATTTTATTTAGATATTCTTTGAAGTATTTGTGATGCTTTACAAATATCTTTTTTAGCGTGAAGATTGGAGTTGATTATTTTAAAGTTGGACGCCATGTGGATGCTATGAATGAATACAATAAAGCTCTGGAAATAGACAAACAAAACGTGGAAGCTTTAGTAGCTCGTGGAGCATTGTAAGTGAATCATGCATGGATTTTAAGAATGTTTACCAGGTAAACTCGAACAAGATGTATGAAGAACTTGTGAGATACGGCCCTTTACTTGTGTTTCTTGTCTCTAGATATGCGACAAAAGGAAGTCTGAACAAAGCAATAGAAGATTTCGAGCTTGCATTGGAAAACTGTCCAACTCACAGAAATGCTAGAAAATACCTCTGCCAGACACTTGTAGAGAGAGGAGGGCAGTAAGTGTCAAATTTTGTTTAATAGTAGAGGTCTCATGTTGAACAACCACTGAAAGATTTTGAACTTAACATAAGGAAACAGTTTAAGGCACTTAATTTAGAACACTCTTGGTTCAAAAAATAAATGGAAAAGTGCAAGAGAGTTTGGTTTAATAATGAAGAATTTAATTTCTAAATTCATCTCATCATTTGAGTAGTATGTCACAAGTATGAATCGAGTGGTCTACAGTTAATTGTAAGATTTTTCCCTTATATTCAGCTTATTACTCCACTTTAGTAAAATCAACTCCAGTCTTCACACTGAAAAAGATATTTGTAGTAAATGGAAGAGCAAGTTAAGAACAAAACTGTAATTACGTTACTATCTTGAGATGCTGCCATAATAACTAGCATAGTAGTTTGTGAAATATTTAGTGATTAACACACCAGTCTAATTTACAAAGTATTTCAAAGAAATGTAATACTTTAAATATAATTTGGTAACAGACTGCTTTAGTAATTAAAAGCTGTAATTATTATGGCTTGTGTGAAAACAGAAGCCAGTTTATAATCAATAGCATCTCTCATTGTTAATTTTTTTAGAATAGATGCATTTCTTTTCTGTTCCATGAATTTGCCTAATTATTTCTATTTGTATAGCCATTCCAGTTTGTGATCACAAATTCCAAGTTAATGAGATTTTGTAACATTCGTTTATAATTCATAGGAACTTCTATTGAATGATTGGAGCAGCATTTTACATTCTTACTGGGTAGACAACTAGTGCCTACTTACATGTGTTTGGGTTACAGCCTTGTGTTGGTGTCTTTTAGCCAAGTGAGTAGCAGTGCCATCCAGTTACCTAAGCCAGAGATACTGCTCTTCTTCGACTTGTCCCTTGTTTCCCACATCCGGTCTGCCGACACAAAAGTGATTCCATTGTATTTGTTTTACAGTAATTTCTTTTTCCGTCTAAGAACCAAAAGCACTTTGCAATGTCCTTTGACTGCTCTGTGTCCAAACTTTCTAATTCTGGTTTTTCACAGCATAGACTTGTGAGCTACATCTAATGATTATGCAATTTACAGGCATATTGTAATATACATGTGTGTTCGGATTTCCAAAGATTTCCAAAATTTTCTGTAGATAATTTTTCATAAACTACTAGAGGAAAGGGCCTGACAGTATAATTCTGTGCTAAAGTTCAAGAGTATACTAAATTGGTGGATACCCGTTTATCGTGGGTTTTCATGGATTACTGCAAAAATGTGCCAATATTGGACATACAGCTTTAGCTACTAGTAATGGATTTCTGTTTATGTGGTCTGTGAAATAAATTACAATAAAAAGCATATTATTTGGGTGTTTTTCATTTTGGAAAATAAATTACTAAATGTGGCTTTTCCCTAATAAGCTTTCTTTTATAAGCCTCTGACCTGTATGCATATTTGTATACTTTTGTTATTTATACAAAAAAGCTAAATCTTTCTTTCAAATTTAGGTTAGAAGAAGAAGAAAAGTTTTTAAATGCTGAAAGTTACTATAAGAAAGCTTTGGCTTTGGATGAGACTTTTAAAGATGCAGAGGATGCTTTGCAGAAGCTTCATAAATATATGCAGGTGATTCCTTATTTCCTCCTAGAAATTTAGTGATATTTAAAATTAACGCTCAAACTTAATTTTCTTCTAGGAAAACTATTCTAGATTACTTTAAGTTGAGGCATTATAAAGTTTCTTTTTAGGTACAGTTTTTCCTAATTGGGTTTGACATTGCTTTATGGTGCCTCTGTTTTTGTCCATACTTGAAAGTAAAAATAGCTATGAGGAAACTCCTATTGCCTAAATATGGTATGTGGTTTTGAGAAATGTCACTGTAGTGAGCTTACCTGGTGGTTTAAAATTATCACTGTTGCTACTATGAGCTAAGTATAAAAGCCTTTTTGAGACATATTTTAAATTGTCTTTTCCTGTAATACTGATGATGATGTTTTCTCATGCATTTTCTTCTGAATTGGACCATTGCTGCTGTGTCTGGGACATCTGGTGCTGCTCCTCCCCATCCACAAACTGGAAAATGATTTCCTATGTAATCATGCATCCAACTGGGCTGTGCTATTTTAAAAAATGGTTTGTATTTGAACATGGTGATTCCTCCTTCAATTCACCGTAATGGAATGTCTTTATTTGAATTTTATGTGTAAAATGTGTCTACATTTTTCAATTTTTAAAAATAATTATTTTTTATTTTTTTAACCTTTCTTGCACTTTGGGTTATGGGTACCACTGCAATGGCTTCCCCTTTTTTGATGGGATACCAACTGCAATATGGTCCTCAATGCTGCTCTGGCCATTTCAATGATTAATGCCAAACATCTGTCTGATTAATTTCTTTATGTTAAAAAAAAACAACTGCTTAATGCTGGCTGTATGGTGATTTGGTTTTACTGAATTGGGCTTCTGGTTGGGGGTGGTCTTTTGAATACTGGGTTTTTATATATTTTGCTATTTTTAACGTGTGGTTTTTTTCGATATCTGGGTTCTAAAAGAAATCTTTGGAATTAAGAGAAAAACAAGCTGAAAAGGAAGAAAAGCAGAAAACAAAGAAAATAGAAACAAGTGCAGAAAAATTGCGTAAGCTCTTAAAAGAAGAGAAGAGGTAAACTATAATATTCAGTATTTTTAAACTTAAGGCACCTACTGAATTGAACCTAAAGTGCCATACTGGAGGTAAAGTAAATAAAAATATGAAAGTATTTCAAGTGGTAATCAATGACTGTTAAGAATCTTTAGCAAGTATGTGTTCCATGTATTTTCCTATTAAAGAGATGAAGTGGAATTTAAGCCTAGAACTCTACAAAAAAAAATTAACCTTAGAATTAAAATACAGAATAAATTGCTTTAATTGTATTTTAGGAAGAAATGTTTTAGAACTAGAGCAGTGATTCTCAGCTAGGAGTGGATTTATTCCCCCAGGGACATTTGACAACATGTAGAGACATTTTTGATTGCCATAACTAATAGGGTGCTACTGCATCTAATGTGTGTTGGTCAGGGATGCTATTAAACAGGCTACAGTGCACAGGACAGCTCCCATGCCCACCCCCAACAAAGAATTATTAGGCTGAACATACCAGTAATCAGGTGAAGAAACCGTGAACTAGAGTAGCCAAGTACAAAACTTGAATTCTCTCCTGTATGTGTTCAGTAGTCTTAAGTTTTTAAGATAGCGTTGAAAAAGTCTCTGTCTTTCAGAAATTATGGATTTACTTAAAATGATACATGTCTGCAAGCATTTTTTCCTCCGAAAAGTGCTTAATGGTAATATTAGATCTTGTAGGAGCTGAGATTATTATGTCATGTGTCTGAACCATAGTTTTATAAAATCTTTAAAGGAAACAAATAGGACCCACATCTTTATGAATAATTTAGAAACATTTTTGTACATATATGACAAGGTAAACTATATTGTTTTTAGGCTAAAGAAGAAAAGAAGAAAATCAACTTCTTCCTCTTCAAGTGTTTCTTCTGCTGATGAATCAGTGTCTTCATCATCATCCTCTTCGTCTTCTGGTCACAAAAGGCATAAGAAACATAAGAGGAACCGTTCAGAGTCGTCTCGAAGTTCCAGAAGGCATTCATCTAGGGCATCCTCAACTCAGATAGATCAGAATAGGAAAGATGAGTGCTACCCAGTTCCAGCTAATACTTCAGCATCTTTTCTTAACCATAAACAAGAAGTGGAGAAACTCCTGGGAAAGCAGGATAGGTTACAGTGTGAAAAGACACAGATCAAAGAGAAAGATAGATGCCCTCTCTCTTCATCTGCAGTTGAAATACCGGATGATTTTGGAGGTAGGTCTGAAGATCCAAGAGGTTTTTATAATAGCTATAAAACCCAAGCAGGTAGTAGCAAAACAGAAAAGCCATATAGATCAGAAAGACATTTTTCTAGTAAAAGAAATTCCTCAGATTTTTTCTGTAGGAATTCAGAGGACAAGATACATGGTTATAGGAGATTTGAAAAAGATATAGAAGGAAGAAAAGAGCACTATAGAAGGTGGGAACCAGGTTCTGTGAGGCATTCTACCTCACCAGCAAGCTCAGACAACTCTTGGAAGTCAGGTGAGAAATACAAAAAGTATACTCACTCTGGATCACGTGATTTCAGTAGACATGAGCAAAGATACCGGTTAAATACAAGTCAAGGAGAATATGAAAGAGAGGACAATTATGGGGAGGATAGCAAAACAGAGGTTCCAGAGGAAGCTGCATTAAGTAGCAAAGGGCACTCAGAAAGCAGTGTTAAAAAGAATTTACCTCAGAACTTACTCAATATATTCAATCAGATAGCTGAATTTGAAAAAGAAAAAGGAAATAAGTCAAAAAATTAATACACCAAGGATATCAGCGCCATTACACAGAATGCCATTAAGTAAGGTTTTGGGTGTTTTTAGTCATAAGAGTTCAGTGCAGTAGTCTCTGCTCCTAAAATCATGTGTGGAGATCACAGGAAACAAATGCTTTTAAGCTTCTCTCAAATTTTCTTTCAGTTGTAGGTCCCTGTCACAGCTTGGTTTTTAGGCTTTTTATGTATGTATTTATGTATAGTATATTACAGTTTGAATTTCTTCGCTTAAAGATAATTCTCTGAAAGTACTGTTTCTTCTTTCTGTTACGGTATATGAGAATTCCTGGGTCCACTTACCCTGCTGTTTGAGAGAAAATTTGTGCATTGAACACATGGATCATTTTTATAAAAAATGATTACATTTTCTTTTCTGTTAAATTAAAAATCATCAGCTTTTGAAAGATTATATGTTCGAGTGTTTCTTGAACACTATTTTATATTGATCAGTTTACATATTACGTTTTTGCCCAGTTTTTTTTTTATTTTTAAATGGTAGATTATGTGTCTTCATTTTCCTCTAAAGCCCGATTTGATTAAAAGTGGTTGTGAACAGTCATTGGCTTGCACCCAGCATAAGTGCCTGAGGAATAAGACCATAAAAGTTGAATAGAAGCGCATTTTGCTGGTTTCTCCATTCTTTTTACCTGTTGCTAGCATTGTAGCGATAAAAAGCTTTTTAACTTGAAATATTTGTAAGACCCTTAGGGCCTATGTTCCAGGCAAGAGTACATCAGAAAAGAAAAAAATCTTTTTAGCAAAAACATACCAGTAGCAGAGAAGCACATTGTAAATCCGGCTTTTCTCTAGGGAAAGAAAATTGGGAAACTGTCGTAGTATTGCAGATGTTCAGTCCAGAAGGCACTAGGAATGTTTTGAAATCTGACCCGCATTTCTCCACCTCACACTGCCTCCTGTCCCTTGGTGCTTCCCTGGTGAACCCTTCTTCAGAGTCTGAATGAATAACTAGACCAACCAGAGCCTGGTTTTACTCAGGATAAGTTCCAGCAGCTAGAGCTGAAGAACAAAGAGACTCCCCAAATCGCTGGAAATGGTATATTCTTTGGGAGATAGAGATAGGAGTTGTAGGTATTGGGTTTATGATGTCATTGGAGTCTTTGCAGTTTAAGATTCTTGAAGCTATAAATTATAACAGGCTTTGGATACTGTCACACACGTTGATGCTGGATAAGTAGGTGGGTAGCTGGGCGTCTACAGAAGTCTCAGTGAGGGAGAATAATACAGGAAGAAGAGACTTTGATTCCCTGTTCTGTCTTGCAGTTCTTGCCAGTGGTAAAATGTCCAGGCTTTAAGTACTGGGTGTGTGTTATTTTGTGTCTGTCAAACTCCAGGGACGAGGGCCTAGTGAAAAGTCTGAAATCTGTTTTGCAAACGGAACGGGGAAGAGAGACCCTGGTCAAGAGCAGTAGATTACGGTGGTAGAAATGGGCTTAGTCACTCAAAGCATTAGTCTTTGCACCACGAAGCAGCTTCTTTTAAGAAGTTCGTCTTAAAAGAGTCCTTAATTCTATGTATTAATAGCTCCAGTATCATCTTTACATAGTCTCCTATGTAGTGGTGTTTATAGAGTGAAAACTATCTCTTGGCATAGTCTTTGACCTTTTGGAATACCTAGTACAGCTTACAGTTTTAAACACACCATTTAAAAAAATTTTTCTTAAATTCATGTAAATTGAAGGGGGTACAAGTGCGTTTTTCTTACATGGATATATTGTGTAGTAAAGTCTGGGCTTCTAGCTTAACCATTGCACCCGTTACATAATTTCTCTTCCCTCACCCCCTCCCAACCTACCATTGGTGTAGGCACATTCATGATTAAGACCTCAAAAGTACAAGCAAAAGGAGCTAAGCACAGTGGCTTATGCCTGTAATCCCCGCACTTGAGGCTGACGCAGGATGATTGCGTGAGGCAAGATATTTGAGACTGGCCTGGGCAACACAGCATGACTCCATCTCTACAAAACATTTACAAATAAGCTGGGTGTGGTGGTGCATGCCTATAATCCTAGCTATGCAGGAGGATCACTTGAACCCAGGAGTTTGAGGCTGCAGTGGGCTCTGATTGTGCCACTGCACTCCAGCCTGGGTGACGGCGAGACTGGTGTCTTAAACAACAAAAACAAAATGGGACTTAAGTAAACTAAGAAGCTTTTGCACAGCAAAAGAAATAACACAGTGAACAGACAACCTGCAGAATGGGAGAAAACATCTTGGTCTCCATAAGCAGAGTAAGTGTGACTTTTGGATATGAGGATAACTGTCCAGGTTGGAGATGGATTGATCCCCTATTGCACCATTTATCACTAGTACACTGAAGTTAGAACTGTCATTTAAGGATTAAATGTAGACTTGTATGCTGGCCTAAGAACCAAACCATTCTAAGGATGTGCTAAGCTCTGGGTGGCGACTCAGTATAAGTAGAAGTTGTTACATAGTGCAATTTCTGTGCGTCAAGCCCTGCGCATCCTTTTTGTATTATCCAGTGATTTCTTTCTGTGTATTACAAATGAGGAAAAAGGAAGCAACCATCCAAGGTTACAGAGCTAGTAAGATAGAACCTCTGCCTGCACCGAACAGTGTTTAATGTTACTTCAACATTTAAGTAATTCTCAAACTAGTATAGGGCTGAGAATAAGAACTTTGGTGAGCAAAGTGGCTTTAATCAGTTTTTAGATCTTATAAATCTCATGCATTAGAGCAATACTTCAGCCAAAAATTTTATTACCTAGCTTTTTTTTGCCCATCTTGTTCTTTGGACTTTGCTATGCCTTTCCTTCACTATTTCTAAAAAAATAATAGGAGAACTGTTCACTACCATTACTGCTTTTCAGAAAGAAATACAAACAGCAGTTCTAAAATGACAGTTGTAATGAGTTTTTTTCCCCTAGGTTTAAAGGAGACACATGTACATTCATGAATTCTAATACATTTATTTAAAATCCAGTTTTATATTCCACATTCTATTCCAAGAGTACAAAGTGTTGGGCACATGTTATAATGAAGTGTTAACTGGAAAAACTACTAAATTTGGCAGTCTACCTCCAACTGTAAACTTAAAAAATTTCTATTGCAAATCAAATCATATCTAGTTTTCATTAAATTGTTTATTAAATCAATAACGTTTCAAAAATGTATTTTTTATACTTGGTTGGCTGTATCTGTAAGGAAATATTTAATGCTTTTGATTTCTTTCAAGGTCAGAATGAAGTGACTTTTAGAAATTTAAGCTGCATTTTAAAATGGATGTACAGTATTCTTATCAATTGGATTTTTTGGGGGAGAGTGGGGGTTCATGCTATTTTTTGGTTAAAAATTATACCAAAAGAAGAAACTGCCTTTAATAGCTTTTCTTCCCAAAAGTCTGAGAAATAGTTACTTTGAATAAAAGCTAATTTTGGTGTCTTACAGGGTGAGATTTTAACATTGTAATAAGCTCATAATAGTAGAGTAAATCTTTAGAAATGTCTTCCTGAAAGATTGTTACATTAGAAGTGAGTGTAGTTTGTGAAATAATAAAGGAAACTATTTTCTAACACTACGAACATCAAAATTACATTGAAATACAGGGTTTTCCCTATGCTTGTATAACCTGTAGCCTGACAAGAATCTGCTATTAATGTGTTCTTCAGTTTGAAGAAAACAGTAGAGAACATTCCTTTTTTTAAAAAAAAAAAAAACTATCAGTTGTTACACTTTTTACTAAGATTTTACACTTTCCACTAGATAAAATGTGTTGGATCATTTTGTATTTTAAAGTATGATATTTTTGTTTTTGTGTTTACAACTTTTTCAGAAGAGATTAAAATGTTTATTTGCTGCTCTTTTTGCTCTTACCATTACTAGAGCTACTACTAGCACTAGCTGGCCTAGAAGGGCTGCCTACTAGTGAAGAGGAGGCGGGGAAGTTAAGCTCTAATACTTTAACTGAAGTCTGAGAAGTAGGTGTACTTGTCCTCCTAGATGACCTGGAAGAAAAGCCAGAATTATAAGTTTAATGCAAAGTTCATACTTTAGACCCCTCCATTATTGGCAAAGGATACCGTAATTCCGTAAGTAAAGAGATTTAAAAAGTACATAGTAATAGTATTAACAAGTTTTTTAAAAGACCATTAATAGATACCAAAAAATTTGAAAAGAAAGATGAACATAGATAAGTTTCACACCAGTAGAAAAGTGGTTTAATTGTGTTTCTATTTCTATATGGTAAAAATGCTTTCAACTATAATCAATTTTTTAGAGTTGGAATCATTAAACATTAAAAGTTTCCAAGACAGAGGAAGGAGGGGCAATAGGATTTTGGTGCTGGCAAGAATAACTAAAATGATTCCCTTTGTAATTTAAGTGAGAAGCATATTGATGGGTAAAGTGGAAGTGGTAGGATCATGTGAAAAACAACTATGTAATCCTGAAATGATGTTTTAAATATACATATTTTATGAAAGTACAGGGATGTTCAATTACATAGAAACATTTTTTATACTTAAACACTTTTTTAGGGGCCTCTTCATGAAATCTTTACATGGACTAAGGAATAGTAATTTAATGCATAGCTACTAAATGCAGGAGATTGTGAATTCTAAATTCAGGATTATTATTAATATAAGTTTTTGTCAGCACAGCACGAGAATGTTGGTTTAAGCATTTGGTGATAGAATTCTGGGTAACAATAAACTGCAGAAGGAAAAAAATGTTTCCTTTTTACCAAAATAAAGCTTCGTAAATAAAGTCAAATCCTAATTATGTAAAATAGCACAATGTGGTTTTAATCACAAAAATCATATTCTATAGGTCTGTACATCTAAGCTGCCCTTACAGGTTTAAAAGATAATCTCCCAGGTTTACCCCCAAATGCTAGATGTAGCCTCCAAATTTATTTCTGCTTTATCCTCCTGAAATAGCTGATAATCACAGAGCACTTGGGCTATACTGGAAGTAGTGACACCAGCAGAAGTCAGAATGAAACTCCTGTTCTGCTGGCAGTTTCTGCATCTAATCTGTATGATGCTGACTAGTGAGATGTCTGAGGGTGCAAAGAATACAGCAGTGAGTGCATGGGCCTGTCCCAACAGCTGTGGTGACAGAGGTGGCTGGGATCACTTAGTGTACAGATGTGAGTTAAGGAGATTGTTCTGTAACTTTCCACTTACCTTACTGATGGTAGTGAAGTGTGTGAAGGATATCTGGAACTCTGGTGACTGCCTTTAGTACTAGGTGCAGGTAGGTCTAACCCACTCTGGAGGAATATTCAATAGCAGTCATTAGTATTACTATTTTTCAGAGGAGAAATATTTTTAATTAGATTTCACTTCATGATGAATGCCATAAAAGTTTCATTTTCATAAAGTGTTTAAGATATATTTAATAGGAGGTGCCATATATTACCTGTTCAAAGTATGTTTGAAGGATAATGCGGATCTCAGCATTTTCTTCTGTGATACCAACTAACATTTCATCAATAACCTTGTGAAACTGTTTGAGTTCACGAAGTTTGATATCTTGTTCTTCCAGTGATTCACCTTTTGTGTCTTTCAAAAGACGGATTTCCTTTGTGAGTTTTGCACACTGTTGGTAAATAATAGTCAATTATTCTATAAAACTGTGTTCCAGAATTTAATATTTTTAATAGATAAAGGAGGATTTGGGACTTCAAAAATATGACAGGTCAGTTTTTCAAAGACAACAATACCTGTTTCGTCACTCTTTCTAATTTTGGCTTCTGCTCCTCCGTTTCTTTATTTAGTTGAAATGAATAAGCCTGCTTCTCTGATAATTTTTCTTTGACATTATTTGCTAAACGTTCTAGAACGTCTAATGTATTTTCCATGCTCTGCAGAAAAAGTATTAACATATTTGCTAGAATCAGAAATTGACCTTTATAACTTGGCATTTATCAAGTATTCGTTGAATTTCTGTACATTATTTCTGTTGGTGAATAATAAGTACGGTGATGAACCTCTTAACATCATGTCTTGGTCAGTGACGGACTGCATATATGATGGTGGTCCCATAAGATTATAATGGAGCTGAAAAATTCCTGTGACCTGTGACATTGTAATGTTGTAGGACAACACATTACTCATCAGTTTGTGGTGATGCTGGTGTAAACAAACCTGCATTGCCAGTCATATAAAAGTCTAGCACATATGATTATGTACAGTGCATAATACTTGATAATAAAAGATATTACTGATTTATGTATCTACTATACAGCATACTTTTATCATTATTTTACAGTGTACTATTTATTTAAAAAGTTAACTATAAAACAGCCTCAGGCAGGTCATTCAGGAGGTATTCCAGAAGAAGGCATTGTTATCATACGAGTTGAAAGAGCTTCATTCATGTTATGTCCCTGAAGAGCTTCAAGTGGGGCAAGATATGGAGCTGGAAGACAGTGATACTGATGATCCTGACCCCCAGGTAGGCTTAGGTTTATGTGTATGTATGTGTCTTAGTTTTTAACAAAAAAGTTAAAAAGTAAAAAAAATAGAAAAAAGCCTAGAGAATAAGAATATAAAGAAATAATATTTTTGTGCAGTTGAACAATGTGTGTTTAAGATAAGTGTTATTACAAAAGTCAAAAAGTCTTACAAAATTAAAAATTTTTAAAGTTAAAAAGCTATAGTAAGCTAAGGTCAATTTATTATTGGAGAAATAAAATGATTTTTATGAATTTGCTGTAGCCTGGGTGTACATTGTTCATCATGTCTACAGTAGTGTCCTAGGCCTTCACATTCTCTCACCACTCACTCACTGACTCATCAAGAGGAACTTCCAGTCCTGCAAGCTCCATGTATGGTAAGTGCCCTGTACAAGTGTACCCTTTTTTTGTCCATTAGACTGTATTTTTATTGTACATTTTCTATGTTTGGATATGTTTAGATGTTTAAGTACCATTGTGTAACAGTTGCCTATAGAACTCAGTACAGTAACACACTCTACAGATTTATGGCCTAGGAACAATGAACTATACCATCAAGGTCTGCGTAAGTACACCCTTAGGATGTTCACACAGTGACAAAATCACCCAAGGATGCATTCATCCAAATGCAGTCCCATTGTTATGCAGTGCACAACTGTATAATGGTTTTATGGATTAAATTTTGTATGTAATTCAACTGGAAATTATTTTTATGGTATTTGGGAAAAAACAATGACAAAATGGAATTTTCAAAAATTCACGGTGTCTTTTCTTCAGCTTTATTAGTAAAATCAATTTTTATGTAGTGCCTTTTTACAAGGCACATTCTTTTTATCTTTTAGTGATTTGCTTTAGTAACTACTTTGTACTAGATTATTTTTTTCTTTCAAACTCTTTAAGAAGCAATCTTAATGTGATCTCTAAGAAATTAAAGTTCCTTAAAGGGTTAATGGGTACATCATAACAACTATGATCTACCAGCTAATAACAAGTAATTGGCAGTGCTTAGCACTGGGATTTTAATTTGTCTAAGACTTTGAGCACTTGTTTTTGTCTCCTTTAAATGAGACTTATCTCTTACTATCTACTTCCCTAAAAGAGATTCTAAATAACTGTCTTCTTGGTCCAAGATCAAGAGAATAGAAGTAGTAGTAATGATAGTTGACTTTTACGGAAGGCATATTACTAAAATGCCTGTAGAATTTACCTGGATGTCTTCTTGAAGTTCTCTGATTTGTCTTTGTTTGTATCTGTATTTTTCATCAATAGCTCTTTTCTGTTCTTCTAGTTGAATTTGTAGCTCATACTCATCACCTGGAATGTAGAACATTTTTAGTTTAAATTTTCAACATACTATGTAGAAATCAGTTTTAAAGTATTACATAAATTGCACCAGTATTTGTTATGAAAGGTTAAATTTTTTATATCCACTGGTAGAAAAACACTGTAGACATGTAGTAGCCATTTCTTGTTTGGTCTACATAAAGCAGCAATATGCTGCCATTTTTTTCACTTTTTGAATTGATTACCCTAGAGAGGTGATATGCCATACCAAACCAGAAGTAATAATGGAAGTAACACCCTAGCAAACCACCCACCAAAAAAAAAAGGCATGAGGGGAGGAAAGAAAAGAGATTAGTTTTTCTGATCCAATCAAACATAGTATACTTTTGTTCTTCTCCATGTCTCACAGTGTTCCATTTATCTATACACTTGTCACTGCGTGTGTGTGTGTGTGTGTGTGTGTGTGTGTATAAAATTTAGACTCCTACATACTGGATGGAGTTACTTTTTTTAAAGATTGCTTGTAATTGTTGTTACAGCTGTTGAGAACTTGCAGGGTGTTTTCTAGAGCGTAGATTTCTTTTTCAGCTTTGTTGATTTTAGCATCCAAACAGTCACCTTCCCTTTGAAGCTCTTCTTTTTCTTGAGCAGCCTATGAAGTACAGAATAGAACTGGCTGAATGAAAGTATTTACGATGGGAAGAAATGCCTAATGTCTGTCTTTGGGGCAGAAAATAGTTAACTTGTAACAATAACAGTTTATCTTATGGCCTACATAAGGCACAATGCATTTATGTCTTGCATTTGATATAGAATGGAAGACCAAATTATCAGCCTTCTTAATATGGCACAGAGGACACAGAATTCAAAACTATGATGGAAATATAGTACCTAACCAAAGCTTACCAAATTCTCCAGCAAAAATTGCCAAAGAGTTAATCATGTATAAATATTACTGGGAAGAGAAATAAGTTAGCTAGAGGTCAGGTTTGAAACTGGATATTAAATCAGAAGAATGTTTCTGGCCTGAAAGAGGTTCAGGAACACTTTCAAAATTGAGGAGTAAAAGATACATATTTTAGGAGTAAAAAGGTATTTTGCCACAATTAAAAAAAAATTTTTTTAAAGACCATTGTGATAAATGTGGCTGAAAAAGATGAAATCTGTTAATTGCTAAAGACCAAAATTATAAGTGTAGACATACTCAGTGACTTTTTACCAGGGTAATGCTGTCACTGGGCTAGGTTCTCTAGAGTTGTACCTGAACAATTCCAAAGAACTTCCTAAAGGTTGACATAGATAGTATGCATACTTATACATATATGTCAGTATATATATATATATATACACACACACACACACACACATATGCAAGAAAATTTTTAGTCAAAATCACTAATTTCATTTTAATTTATTCAGCTCTTAGATGTGTGTATTTAAACCTGAGTGTAGTCAATTAGAAAAATAAAGTTTTTTCTGATTATTTTTATTTGTAAAAATTTAAGGAGTACAAGTATATTTTGTTACATGGCTATATTGTGTAGTGGTGAAGTCAGGACTTCTAGTGTACTACCCATTATTGGAGTACTGCACATTGTGCATTATGTAATTTCTCATCCCTGCCCCTCTGATACCCCCAGCATGATTCTGAGTTCCAGTGTCTTATCACTCCACACTACACCTCCATGTGTACACATTATTTAGCTCCCACATATAAGTGAGATCACATGGTTTTTGCTTTTGTGTCCGAGTTGTTTCTCTTAAGATAATGGCCTCCAGTTCTGTCATGTTGCTGTAAAAGACAAGATTTTATTCATTTTTATGGCTGGATAGTATTTCTTTGTGCATAGAGACCACATTTTCTTGATCCAGTCATCCATCAATGGACACTTGCGTTGAATGCAAATCTTTGCTATTGTAAATAGTGCTGCAGTAAACATAGGAGTGGGGCTATCATTTTGATTTAATCATTTCTGTTCCTTTGTTTAGATTGCTGGATCAAAGAGTGGTTCTATTTTTACTTTCTTGGGAAATCTTAATTCTGTTTTCCATGGAGATTGTGTTAATTTACATACCCACCAACAGAGTATAAGCATGTCCTTAGCCCACTTTTTTTTCTTCCAACTTTTAGGTTCAAGGGGTAGACATGCAGGATTGTAATATGGGTAAATTACATGTCATGGAGGTTTGGTGTACAGATTTTTTTGTCACACATGTAATAAGCATACTTTCTTCAGTGTATGTTCAAAGATCAGTTAGCTATATGTGGGTTTATTTCTAGGTTCTCTATTCTGTTCCATTGATTGTGTCTCATTTCATACCAGTACCATTGATGCTTTGGTTACTATGGTCTTATGGTATAATTTGAAGTCGGATGATGTAGTCCTGCCAGCTTTGTACTTTTTGCTTAGAATTGCTTTGGCTATTTGGGTTTTTGTGTTGCATATGAATTTTAGGGTTCTAATTCTGTGAAAAATGAAATTGGTATTTTGATAGGGGTTGCATTGAATCTGTAGATTCCTTTGGGCATTATGGTCATTTTAACAGTATTAATTCTTCCAATCTATGAGCATGTAATGTTTTTACCTTTGTGTGTGTCATCTATGGTTTCTTTCATCAGTGTTTTGTAGTCTTCCTTATAGAGATCTTTTACCTCCTTAGTTAAATACATTTCTAGGTCCTTTTTTTGGTATCTTTTATAAATGGAATTGCCTTCTTGGTTTGGTTCTCAGCTATATCATTGTTAGAGTATAGAAATGCTACTGATTTTTATACCTTGATTTTGTATCCTGAAACTCTGCTAAATTCATTTATCCAATCTAAGATTTTTTTTTTGGCGGGAGTCCTTAGGGTTTTCTAGATTAAGATCATAGATAATTTGAACACAGATAATTTGACTTCCTCTTTTCCTATTTGAAAGACTTCTATTTATTTCTCTTGCCTGATTGCTGTGGTTAGGACTTCCAGTACTATGTTGAATACGAGTGATGAAAGTGGGCATCCATGTCTTGTTTAAATTCTTAGGGAGAATGCCTTCAGCTTTCACCCCATTCAGTATGATGTTGGCTGTGGGTTTGTCATAGATGGCATTTATTATTTTGAGTTATGTTCCTTCTTTGCCTAGTTTATGAAGGATTTTTGTCAGGAAGGAACACTGAATTTTATCACATTGCTTTTTCTACATCTATTGAGATGATTATATTATTTTTGTCCTTAATTCTGTTTATGTGATGTGTCATATTTATTGAGTTGCATATACTTAACTATTCTTTCATCCCTGGCATAAAACTGCCTTGATCATGGTGTATTATCTTTCTGATGTGCTGTTGGACTCAATTTGCTAGTATTTTGCTGAAGATTTTTGTGTCTATGATCTGTGTTCATCAGGAATATCCATCTATTGTTTTCTTTTTTGTGTTGTGTCCTTGTCTGGTTTTGATTTCAGTGTTATACTGGCCTTACAGAATGAGTTAGGGAGAATTCCCTCCTCCTCAATGTTTTGTAACAGTTTCAGGAGTATTTGTATTAGTTCTTCTTGGTATGCTTGGTAGAATTTGGCTGTTACATTTTATCTTGGGCTTTTTTATTGTTGTTAGGACATTTTTTATTATTATGGATTCATTCTTGCTATTTGCATTATTGGTTTGTTCAGGATTTTTGTTTCTTCCTGGTTCAACCTTGGGAGGTTGTATTATATGTTTCCAGAAATTTATCTGTTTCCAGGAATCCATTTCCTCTAGGTTTTCTAATTTATAAAGTAGTATAGTCTCTGATGATCTTTCCTATTTCTGTAGTTCAGTTGTAATGTCTTATTTATTTCTGATTTGGTTTGTTTAGATCTCTGTTCTTGACTAGCTAGTAGTTTATCAATTTTGTCATTCGAAGAACAAACTTAATTTCCTTCATCATTTGTAAATGTTTTTGTCTCCATTTATTTTGTTTTGTTCTGATCTCTTACTGCTTTTGTTCTGCTAACTTTGTTTTTTTTTTTTTCTTGTTTTGTTAATTCCTTGAGGTGCAGTGTTAGATTGTTAATTGATGATAATTCTATATTTTTTATATAGGTATTTAATCCTGTAAACTTCCTTCTTAGCAATGCTTTTGCTCTATTCCACAGGTTTTGGTATGTAGAATTTGGCTGTTACTACATCTTATCCTTATCATTCATTTCAAAATTTTTTTAAAATTTCCATCCTGATTTCTTTGTTGACCCAGTGAGCATATCGTTTGATTTCCATATGCTTCTAAGGGGCCCAGAGTTTCTCTGGGCATTGATTCCCAGTTTTTTATTGCACTGTGGTCTGAGAAGATTTTTATTTATTCAAGACTTGTTTTCTGGCCTAATATATGATTTATCTGGGAGAATTTTCCATGTGCTTATGAAAAGAATGTATATTATGCAGTCGTTGGGTAGAGTGTTCTGTAGATGTCTGTTACATGTCCATTTGGTCTAAAGTCCGATTTAATTCCAATGTTTGTTTATTGACTTACTGTCTTGATAATCTGCCTGGTGCTGTCAGTGGGGTGTTGACCTACTATTATTGTATTGCTAATTCTTTATTTCAGTCTAGTAATAATTGTTTTATGAATCTAGGTGCTGCAGTGTCATGTGCATATATACCCCTTTATCGCTATATAATAACCTTCTTCGTCTTTTACTGTTTTGATTTAATATCTGTTTTATCTGATATAAGTAACGCTACTCCTGTTTGCTTTTGGTTTCTGTGGAATATCTTTTCCACCCTTTTACTTTCAGTATATGTGTGTCTTTACAGATAAGGTGAGTTTCATATAAGCAGCATATAGTTGGATCACATTTTTTATCCATTCCACTGTCTATGTTTTACTTGGATCATTTGATCCACTTACATTCAAAACTAATATTGATATATATGGTTTTGTTCCTGTCATATTTTCAATTATTACCTAGTTGGTTTATAATTTTTTTTTTTCTATGTGTGGTTGTCTGTGTTTTGGTGGAATTCTTTTGTGTTGCCAATGATTCCTTTCTCTTCCTCTTTTGTGTGTTTGTTTTATAATACCTATGAGTTCTATATAGCTTTTGTCTGTTTTCATGATGGTGAATGCTGACATTTTGTTTCCATTTTAAAACTCCTTCAAGCATTTCCTATAGGACTGGTCTAGTGGTGATGAATTCCCTTAGTGTTTGCTTGGCTGAGTATTCTTTCTTTATGAAGCTTATTCTTGCTGGATATAAAAGTGGGGGTTGACAGGTGTTGTATTTTGTTTTGGTTTTGTTTTTCCTTTTAGCTTTGAAAATTCTATACCATTCTTTTCTGTCCTGTAAGATTTCTGCTGATTAGAAATCTGCTGTTACTCTGACGGGATTTTCTTTATAGGTGACTAGATGCTTTTCTCTTGCTAATTTTAACTTTTCTTTTGCAGTTTCACTTTGACTGTAGACATTCTGATTACAATACACCATGATGAGGTATTTTTTGAAATGTATTTTCCTGGGATTGGTGACCCTTTTGTATCTGGATGCCTCTCTCACTAGACTTAAGATGTTTTCATCAATTATTTCCTTAAACAGGCTTTCTAAACTTTTTTCTCTCTCTTACCCCCCCCCCCCAGGCATAACTGATAATTTGTAAGTTCAGTCACCAAACATCTTGAAGGCTTTATTGATTT